GGACGGACGGATGGATGGGGGGTGGTCCCGGTGCCGGAGGGGAGCGGGGAGGGACGGACGGATGGATGGGGGGTGGTCCCGCTGCCCGAGGGGAGCGGGGACCCGCTGCCCGCGGGGATGGGTGGATGGATGGGGGGTGGTCCCTGTGCCGGAGGGACGGACGGAGCGAGGTCCGGCCGCTCTCGGGCATCGAGGTCGCGGCGGGGTTTGGAGAAGAAACTTCTTGCAGTGCCTGGGGGTGCGGGATTGTGGCACACAGATCTCCCCGCTGCGGGCCCCGTCCCTCCGCCGGTGCCGCCGTCCCTCGGCCGCTGCGCTCCGGGAGACGGCGTCCCCCCTGCAGATGGCAGGGATGATGACTTTGGAATGGGGAGGGTGAAGCGCTTATACTCAGATTCGTCGTGGAAATGTTTATTTTCTCGGCTTGATACGGATCTTAAAGTAATCCGCTTGGCATTACGCTGTTGCCCTGCTGTTAAAGCTCGCAGCCGCTGTGCTGAGCGCCGCGGAAGCAGATGAGAGAGAAGCGTCTAAGCCGTGCTTGCTGGGAGCCCTCGCAACCTCAGAAGAGATGCTTAATTTTGGTAGTTCAGTGCGTGGCAACGTGTGGTTAATGGAGTAGTTTTTTCACTGCTAAACACAACGGAAAGGTTTGGAGCCAGCCGCGAAGCAGCACGGTCACAGCCTCGCTGCGTTACTCAGCCTCCCCCAGAATCTGGTACATATCTGCTGCAAGGTCGTAGAAAAGCCTATTCTGGCTTCGTAGGGATTTTTTTGTTCTGTTTTGGTGGTTTCCTAAAGAGCCGTGTTCACCTTTGCAGAAGAAATGTTTGGAAAAGAGCAATCCAGGCTGGGTACTCGTATCCAGCAGTGCACCTTTTTTCCTTCAGGGATGCTGAATGTTTCCTGTCACGAGACTGGGTCAAGACGCAGTTACCGTGGAATAAAACACAGCTGCTATCATGAACGTGGTGTGGCTGGTTCTTGAAATCCTTGAATTTAAGTCCCTTGCTTCGTGAGGAATACCCTTATCACACTAAATTTAATAAAGAAACGCTCTTACTGTTTCAATTGTGGCAGTGGAAGGCAAGCTCAGCTGTGCAACACTGTCTCTGACAATAAAGTCATAGTATAATGCAGAATCTTTAATTAAATTAGAGTGCATAAATTGATGTTGTGCTGCAGAGGCTCTTTGTGCACAGCTGGAAGCATTTTCCTTTCTGTTGCTTTACTATTTTTAGCAGCAGTTGAAAGTACAGAAGTATGAAATGTTTTGGCTCTGATCTTAACCTGGCAAAGTCTGGTGCGCTCTGCTTTTAATATGGGGGCGCATTGATCTCGGCTTATCGGTTCTGCTGGGCTCTTGATCTTCACTGTGTGTGTTGAAACACACAAATAAAATCGCAATAAAATGTATATGGCTGGGTTTAGGTCCTGTTTGAGTTTCAGCTGCTCTCTGAAACTACCGAGGCTGCATCTTGTAGGTGTAAGATGCACTGAAAATGCAAAGAGATGCTCTTGTCCTTGCAGTGCAGCCAGGGACAAGAAGTCTGTGCGAGGGAGCCGAGTGTCCCCGTGGCTGCACTCAGACAATGTGGCACTGGCTGTCACTGCTCACACAATGGGATGTAGGGCTAGATGGAAGCGATCCAGGAAATCTCATGACTTCTGCAACTGCGTTTTTAAATTTCAGACCGAAGACTGTTGTTTTAAGAGCCCTTTGCTGCTTCAGGAGTTCATTACTGCCTGTCCTATCAGAGGTGTCTTAAATGTTTGTAGTGCCATAAATAATGTAAACATCCCTCTCTTTGGTGACTCACTATTTGTGACTAGGAACTCTTGGAACAGCTTAAGCTGTTCAGTATGCTGAAAAAACCACTAATACCTGTTTTGTATTAAAATCTTGTAATCTGGAGTTTCATTTAAATAAGACAGTGTAAATCTGCTCTCCTCCCTGCAGTGACACTGAGACCTGGGGACCAGCACAAGCTTACTGTTGCAGCTCTTGTTACAGCTGCCTTATTAAAATTGATAGAGCAGCCTCGCAGCTAGGTTTAAAAAAAAAAAAAAAAAGAAAAAGCTGTTTTGAGACACTGTATGGGTTGTTTTTTTTTTTTAAAGAAGCCTTGATTGTGATGTTGATGAATAACTTGTGTCTTGAACTGTGAGACTTTTAAATTAGGTGGTGAAAAGGATGATGAACAAAGGAATTGGCATACCTGGCAAACTGCTGAGCTCCTGTTTTTAAGATGACAAAACTTTCCCTTTATCTTTAGCTCTCACTCTGCCTTAGCAATATTAAAGTGGGGTTGCTCTACGTTGACCTTTAAATCGAGGGGAAGGCGTGTTTTTTTGGCAGGAGGTGGCTCTCCCAGCAGGGCACGTTCCTCTTTGTCTCAATAGTTGGGATTGCTCAGTCTGCACCTCAGGGTGAGCCCCAGCAAAGCCCGAGGCGTTTCGTGTCACAAGCACATTTCTGATAACCTTCTCCCAGCTCTGTGCTACATCTGTGCTGGCAGTGATGTGGCAGCGTATGTTTGGTTAAGGTTTTGCCGAGGTTTACATAATCAATGTTGTAGTGGATAGAAACAGTTTATGTAAATCGAGCCAGACAGGTCAAGACGGCTGGTAAAGAAGAGATCATCTGCTTTATTGTGAATCTACTTGTGTACATCTGCTCGTAGCATCATCTGCTCACAAAAGGCTCTGGATTTCTTGGTGAAGCAGAAACATTCATATTCTAATTCTTTTTGAAGAAAAAAAGAAAGCAGCTTTGTTTGAAGTCCTGTCAAAGTAATGGCTCATTATATATTTCTTGGAACGTGGGGATGGAGGGAGTTAAGGAGATGCTGAATGCAGTACCAAGTACCTGAATAGTGTCAGGGTGTTTGTTACTGCCTTTGTCAGTAGCTTTTGTTTGACTTATCTAGTGCCTTAGTGTTTTGGCCCCTTGCTCCTGGTGCCCCTTTGTCCCCTAACTTGAAATTGTGCCCTTTATTCCAGCAGTGTCACTTCTGCTAAATGCATGGAGGAGCTGGTCCCTGGCTGCAGGGGGTGACTCACTGCAGGCAGGTGTCAGTGGCCTGGTGCCCTTAAATCCTTTGGGACTGCACGATGGGGATGGGCGGCTGTGACCTCTTAGGAAAGTCACTTGATTAAAATGATGTAAATTGAAGGAGGAACAGCAAGGAGACATGAGCTGTAGTCAGTGGCAGAGTTCTGTAGCAGTGAAAGATTTGTACCTGACGCTGAATGCTTTATTTGGATGGGGTTTCTGGTACCTGTGTACATGTAAATGGAATATTTCTTATTAACCAAAGGCTTTCTTGGTATTTGCTACTCCTTAGCAAGGTGGTGCAGCCTGGTGCATCCTCAGCTGAGGAAGACTTTGTTGTACAGATTTAGCGGATTTTCCAATATCTAATGAATTTTAAAAATTTAACCAAACAAAGCTCGAAGGACTGTCCCTCAGTGTTGTTACAGTAGTAATTTTGAACATTTTATATGTAAATTTTCCATTGACTATCATTAAAATAAAGGAATTGTTTAATTTGGAGGCTTCAGTGCTGAAATAAGCCACTGTGAGTTATGTGAGCATTGTTTAATGTGGATTCTTGGACATCCTTGAATAAACAGGCTGTAGTTCTGCTTAAATTAAACTTTTTTTAAAAAGTACAATGAAAGGATAGGTCTTGGAGCAGCCTGGTGTGGTGGAAGATGGCCCTACCCACAGTAGGGGGTTGAAACCAAATAGTTTTTAAGGTCTCTTCCAATCCAATCCCAATCTGGGATTCTACAAAAATTCTCACTTGTGTTTACAGTCATACATTCTGTGATAATTTTTGGGAAGCTCTTCTCTTTGATGGACCACTTTATACTTGAAGCAACTTTAGATCTGAAACAGTCTTTTTGTATTAATCCAAAGAGACATGCATTTTTAAATTCCTATTTTTCATAATGTCTCTTTCTGACTGATCAGAATTCCCACTACCGCCACCTTCTTGCAGGGTAAATAAGGTTTCTGAAGTATCTTCTGCTTATAAACAAATTTCTGTTTTTTTTTAAACTTTTACCTGTCTGGCTTTTCAAGTCACTCATGTCCATCTCTTGCTGTGCAGTTTGGGAAGAAGCCAGTGCAGGTTTGCAGTGGTGTTGACAAGTGCAGAAGCAGTGTGGGATCTCTGCTTGTCCTTGGGTGGTGTTTGCTGCTGTGCATGGACTGAAGGAGGAGGGAGAGTCATCCTGGCTGTGGAATTAAACTGGGGACTTAGTTTGCACATAGATGGATTTGCTGATACCAGACTGAGGCTTGGTTTAATGACTTGGTGGTTTCCTGCTCTGTCTGCTGTAGATATATTGGTGAAACTGCTTAGGTGACTCGAGTTCTGCTGTTAAGCCTTATTTAAAAATGTACTTTAGGTTTCATTTAAAGGAGTGACTGCAGCATATAATGGGAACTACCAGTTAAATGTGTTCAAGG